TGTTCCCATTCATGAAACGTTGATCTATCGATCAACTTCTCATGAATGGGACTGCTGGAAAATTTCAGTTCAATCAGTGCTGCAACCGGCCAAATTTCGATCCAAGTATGGTTGTTCCTGTTCATAAAAAGTTGATCTATCATTACAGTGGCTAAATGGTTAGCACTTCTGCCTCGCAGTACTAGGGTCATTGGTTCAAATCCCAACCACAGCACCACCTGCCTGGAGTTTGCATGTTCACTCTGTGCCTGTGTGGGTTTCCTCTGGATACTCTGGTTTCCTCCCACACTCCAAAGACATGCTGGTAGGTTAAGTGGATCCTGTCTAAATTGTCCATAGTATATGTATGAATGTGAGTTAGGGACCTTAGATTGTACACCCCTTGAGGGTTAGGAACTGATGTGAATGTACAATATACAGTTGCAAGAAAAAGTATGTGAACCCCTTGGGATTACGTGGAGTTTTGCATGAATTGGGCATAAAATGTGCTCTGAACGTCATCTAAGTCACAACAATAGAAGAACACAGTCTGCTGAACATAATACTACACAAACATTAGATGTTGCCATGGTTTAATTGCACATAACATGTAAACATTCACAGTGCAGGGAGGAAAAAGTATGTGAGGCCCTAGCTTAATGACTTCTCCTAGAGCTAATTGGAGCCAGGAGTGAACCAACCTTGACTCCAATCAGTGTGATGATATTGGGTGTGTTGCTGACAGCTGTCCTGCCCTTAAAAAACACACACCTGTTTTGGGTTTACTGGTTTCAAGAAGCACTGTCTGATGTGAACCATGCCTCGCAGAAAAGAGCTCTCAGAAGACCACGATCAAGAATTGTTGACTTGCATGAAGCTGGAAAGGGTTACAAAAGTATCTCCAAAAGCCTTGATGTTCATGTGTCCACGGTAAGACAGACTGTCTACAAATGGAGAAAGTTTAGCACTGTTGCTACTCTCCCTAGGCATGGTCGTCCTGTAAAAATGACTGCAAGAGCACAGCGCAGAATGCTGCATGAGGTAAAGAAGAATCCCAGAGTGTCAGCTAAAGACCTACAGAAATCTCTGGCATATGCTAACATTTTTGTTGACACATCTACAATAAGGAAAACATTAAACAAGAATGGAGTACATGGGTATAGGAGGACACCACGAAGGAAGCCATTGCTGTCCAAAAAGAATATTGCAGCATGTTTGAAGTTTGCAAAAGAGCACCTGGATGTTCCACAGCACTACTGGCAAAATATACTGTGGACAGATGAAACCAAGATTGAGTTGTTTGGGAAGAACACACAACACTATGCATGGAGAAAAAAAGGCACAGCACACCAACATCAAAACCTCATCCCCACTGTAAAACATGGCGGAGGGAGCATCATGGTTTGGGGCTGCTTTGCTGCCTCAGGGCCTGGACGGATTGTTGTCATTGATGGGAAAATGAATTCAAGAGTTTATCAAGATATTTTGCAGGAAAACGTATGACCATCTGTCCGCCAACTGAAGCTCCGCAGAGGATGGATGATGCAACAGGACAAGGACCCAAAGCATACAAGTAATTCAACAAAACAATGGCCGCAACAGCACAGAATACGCCTTCTGGAGTGGCCCAGTCAGAGTCCTGACCTCAACCCGATTGAAATGCTGTGGCATGACCTTAAGAGAGCGATTCACACCAGACATCCCAAGAATATTGCTACACTGAAACAGTTTTGTGAAGAGGAGTGGTCCAAAATTACTCCAGATCGTTGTGCAGGTCTGATCTGCAACTACAGGAAACGTTTGGTTGAGGTTATTGCTGCCAAAGGAGGGTCAACCAGTTGTTAAGTCCAAAGGTTCACATACTTTTTCCTCCCTGCACTGTGAATGTTTACATGTTATGTGCAATTAAACCATGGCAACATCTAATGTTTGTGTAATATTATGTTCAGCAGACTGTGTTCTTCTATTGTTGTGACTCAGATGACGTTCAGAGCACATTTTATGCCCAATTCATGCAAAACTCCACGTAATCCCAAGGGGTTCACATACTTTTTCTTGCAACTGTATATATATATATATATATATATATATATATATATATATATATATATATATATATATGAATGAGGCGAGAGTCACGTGACAGAGTATCAGGTGTAGATATACACAGAGCCAGGGATACGGTGACAACAGCTTTATCCATAGAGCTGGCTGTACTGAGATCAGGTGCCATTTCTGAGAGTTTAGGGGTGATTCATAAAGGGAAGATTGCCCACAGAGGAGCAAGTTATGTGTTACACCCACCGATAGGGGAGATGCTTTTCTGACCTGTGTTCACATACAGGTCCATGTGAAAAGGTGAGAGTCTACCTGGAGGTCTATGTTTACTGTGGTGATCCACGTTTATTGAAGATTTACAGCACTGGGAATTTGGGTGCAATCACCAGCAGGAATATATTTCACTGTCTTCGATTTTTTGAAGAATTTGATTTATTATTTTTTTTTATCAACTTTTGGGACTATTAGTCATGTCTTTGTCTTTATATCCATATTCATTGTTTTTTGCTAGCAGCACGACACTATCTTTTTCATATATATGTAAAGCGCTGCGTAAATTGACGGTGCTATATAAGTACCTGAAACAAATAAATCATAAATAAATCTAGCGATCAACTTCTTATGAATGGAAGTGCTGCAGCCAATAGGCTGAACGGCTGGCTCAGTGAAGAAAATTGACCCATGTATGGGCAGCTTAAAATTGCATGGTGAAAACAAACACAATTGAGAACTTCTGTTTGTGTCTTCCACCAATCGACCAAAATTCAATTCCCTGTGTGTGGCATATGGATTGAATGGGCTGTAATCTATAGATTGATTGTTCCTTTTGGGAGAGAGTGATTGTTAAAGAAATTGATCAATTACAGATGTGTGCTTGGCCGCCAAGGGGGTTATTTACTAAAACTGGAGAGTTCAAAATCAGGAGCAGCTCTGCCTAGAAGCCAATCAGCTTCCAGGTTTTATTGTCAAAGCTTAATTGAACAAGCTGAAGTTAGAAGCTGATTGGCTACCATACACAGCTGCACCAGATTCTGAGTGCTCCAGTTTTAGTAAATCTACCCCGAATGTGTTATTGGCCAGGTGAAAATAAGGCTCCATTCACACTGGCTTAAATTGCTGCTTCTACAGTAGTTCTGTGTTTTGCCTGTAGAAGCAGCTCAGTGCTGTCCTATGTACCCATGCACATTAGGACAATTAGAGGCATATTTTAATCTCAACCTTTAGAGGCAGGAAAAAAAAACTCTTCTGGTTTGCATTTTTGATTGGAGCTTTCTGGCAGAAAAATTGCTAAACTCTCCTAAACTTGCCTAAACTGTGTACAAAAACATTGTCTATCATTGTTTTTTTTCTGACAAGGGAACTGTCATATTTTCTAAGCACAGTGTGCATGGAGCCAAAGGGCTCGTTCACACTTGACTTTATTTCTAACTCTTGCCAAACACCCTTCTAGCGTTTGACAGGCATTAGACAGGCATTTGGGAAGCGTTTTTAACGCTCCTCAAACGCTCCCCAAATGCACGGTTTTGAGGTGGTTGATAGGCGTTTGCCAAGCGTGAAAACTGCACCACAAATGCCTATAATGAAGTATGGTATTAATGCTCCGCAACCGCACCGCAAACGCCTGCCAGGTGTTTGAGAAGGGGCACCGTAGACTTGAAAGGGAGGCTTCAACTCCTCCTGACTGGACACGAGGCGTCAGTTTTGCCAGGACATGACGCTAACGCTTCAGTGTGAACAGCACTGCATGCTGCCATGTGCAGCATTTTCATAGGTGTTTGAGAAGCATTAAAAATGCTTCCCAAATGCCTGTCTGACGCCTGCTGACAAAAGCAAGAGTGAATGTAGCCTTAGGGAAAAAAGTACTGGTTCACACTTTGCTCTGATTTGAATCACACAGGAATTTGCTGTGCGTTCCTGTGCGATTCATATGTGGGTCTATGCGGTGCTTTTTCAAGCCCATTCACTTGAATGGGCTGAAAGCACACCGCACCAAAGGTAATGCATGCACTACTTTTTTTTTTTAAATGCACGGCAACCGCATTGCATGTTACTTTGTACCATGCAGTTTGGTGTGGGCAAACGCAATGAGTTTGCAACCTGCGTTTGAGGTATCATTAACTTTAACTGACCCCCGCAGCACATCACAAGGGTATTGTGATCGGAATGCAGTGCATGAAGCCGCACGGAAACGCAGCTCTCCCACACCGCATTCTAGTGTGAACGAGCCCTAAAAATGAAAACTAATGCAGCCACTGCAATTGGAAATCTGCAATTTTTTTATTAGTAAATCCCCTCTAAACCTGGTATTTGTAAACCTAGAAGGGCTGTGAAAAATATCACCATTGAAGACTCTATGTGAATGAAGGTATTTCATGGGGTCCTTAATAGTTGATTTGATTGTTTGCTGTGGCTCAATAGCTGCCTTGTATTGTCTTGTGACCTCTGTCTGCCCAGTGATCTCTCTAGTAATTTATTGGGTGTCCATGTTCCTAGGGTTCCCTCTATAATGGATTAGGACAAGGCAATTAGTTTAGAGCTCCCTGCACATATGATCCTGTTTTGGGTTTGTAGCAGACGGGTCTTCTCCTACATGGAAAGCCTCTTTCTTCCTGAATATGTACAGTAAGGTTGACTCATCAATGGCAATAGGTGAAGTGCTACTCCCAATAATGAAGTCAATGGAGTCTGCATATGCACACTGGTCCAAATGCGTCAGTGTGGAGGAGGGGGTGAGGCACTCACAGACAGATCCTATACACAGTACAGTTTTGTCCCCCCTATTGATCATTTTCATCCAGGGAGTTACTTTTTTTTTCTTTTTTTCCTCCTCGCCTTTCCTTCTTCCTCCTTTTCACCAACAGGGTGGTGGTGGTGCTGCAGCTGCTGTCCATAGGCTGGTAGCTAGCAGTAGAAGAAGGGGAATCAGTGGGTACAGTTGATGCACAGAGTGACAGGCAGACTGTAAGCCATCAGGGGATTCCCTTCCTCCGCAGCCTCTGTGCATACACTGCATAGAAAAGTCTTTTTTTTTGTTGGTGCTCCAGGGCTGCGCTGGGCTAAGGATGCAAATCTGCAGGGGACGTTTCCTGGGGATCTCAGTGGCCATAGCACATGGGGTGTTCTCAGGTTCTCTGAACATCCTGCTGAAGTTTCTCATCAGCAAGTATCATTTTTCCTTCCTGACCCTAGTGCAGTGTATGACCAGCTCCACCGCAGCCATCACCTTAGAAGTTCTCAGACGATGTGGGAAGATCTCGGTGCCCCCCTATGGCTTGAGTCTTGCTCGGATGTTCGCTGGGGTCACCATCCTCTCCACTCTGCAGTCCAGCCTCACGCTCTGGTCCTTAAGGGGACTCAGCCTTCCCATGTATGTGGTGTTCAAGCGATGTCTGCCCTTGGTCACTCTATTAATTGGAGTACTGGTGCTGAGGAACGGGATCCCCTCCATAGGAGTGCTGGTGGCTGTCTTCATCACCACCTGTGGTGCAGCTTTGGCAGGTAAGTGATCTCTCCTTTACTTCATCAATGCATATGCACGTTTAGATTGTCCTAAAGCTAGCCATACACGGTATTATCTGATTGTACAATCTCTGTACAACTAAGGCCAGCGTAGACAAGTCAAAAAACAAACACAATTTGTGTTGATTTTTGAATGGGTTTGTGCACCATTTGTGTGCCAGTTGTGATACGCAATATTCGCGCCGCAATCAAAAGTGCCTGATCGAACATAATGGTTTTTTTTTTTTAGAAAATCAAAACAATTGATGGCACAATCATATGAGCTATTTTAATTTTTCGATCGACAGAACTTTCATTTTTCGACTCGTCTATAGCCTGCCTAAGCTCACTCATTACAATCTGATTGTACAATCTCCTATAGCTCTGCTAACAGCTATGCAGTGCAAGGGCTTGCCGGACTCAATACAATTTGATTGGAAAGTTTAGCTAGGTCCTCATATTGTATATATATTTTTTATAAATTTGCAGTTGAGCGTACCAGGATTGTATGGATAAATTGTAGCATGCATGATGACCCTTAGAGTTACCAAAACTATGTATGCCCACCGGCCACTTTATTAGGTACACCTTGCTAGTGCCAAGAAAACATTCCCCACACCAATACACCACCATCCTGAGCCATGGATCCATGCTTTCATGTTGTTTATGCCAAATCCTGACCCTACCATCTGAATGCCGCAGCAACCACTCTGCCCATTCTCCTTTGACCTCAACAAGGCAACAATGCATTTTTGTCCACACACTTGCAGCTCACTGGATATTTTCTCTTTTTTGGACCATTCTCTGTAAACCCTAGAGATGGTTGTGCATTAAAATCTCAGTAGATCAGCAGTTTTTGAAATACTCAGACTAGCCCGTCTGGCACCAAAAACCATGCCACGTTCAAAGTCACTTAAATCCCCTTTCTTCCCCATTCTGATGCTCAGTTTGAACTTCAGCAAGTCGTCTTCACCACGTCTAGATGCCTAAATGCATTGAGTTGTTGCCATGTGATTGGTTGATTAGCAGTTTGTGTTACCATGCAATTGAACAGGTGTACCTAATAAAGTGGCCGGTGAGTGTAATATGAGGACAAAGCTAAACAACCAAATCAATTCATATCAGATCTGGGAGGTTCTTACATCACATAGTTGATGGTAGGTCATCAGGTTGTAAGGTGTATAGCCAGCTGAAGTAAGACTTGAAGTTGAAGCTTTAGGTTTAGCTTCATTTCAGCTAGACAGGTCAGTTGAGGTACCAGGGTTGTGGTTTAAATCATTTTACATCATCACCTGTCCAGATTTGATCAAATATATAACTATAGCAGGTATTACAGGATCTTTTGCTAGAATTACAGAGATTACACCCTGCAGGTGCAGAACAGTAGAAAAAACTAATGATGACCATACACAGCACTATACAATAATCAACCAAAGTTGCTCAGTCACATAAATCAAGCAAAAAAAAAAAATTTGCATGGCAAACATAATTCATTAAATTTTCCATACATGTGTATTCCTAGTTCAATGGATTTCATACATAAATTGTATTTATCATAAAGTCGATCAGACGGACGCACAGTTCTCTTTTTGAGCTCCCAAGCATCCAGAAGACTCTGTACAATTGATTTTTTTCCACCACAGCTGAACGAAATGGGTTGATCGAAGTCAGTATCAATTGCTTATTGCTCAGCCATGCCATTTTTATCAAGCTCAAGTCAATGTCTGATTTAATTGTTTTGCTAAATCAGACATCGATCACTCAGTTGTATCACACGGTGTATGGCCAACATAAGGCTCGTCACACACAAACACTGCAATCTGACTGCCAATTTTAGCTTTTTCCAAACTATGTAATATGGTGATCTACCTAATCTATCCTGTCTATGTCAGTATAAGCAGGCATGCTCTTGCATTACATAGTTGTTGGTAGATCTAACAGACATTGTACAACCAGATTATAACGTGTGTGGTGAGCTTTAGATTTCAGGACAGAGTGAGACACTGCAGTATTCAGCTATGGGAGCTGAAAGAGTATCTAAACCTAAAAACAAAATTTGATAGTATTGCAGCTTAATTGTTCTTAGATATGTGGCTTCTTAGGTTTTCTTTTTTCACTCTTTTTTTCCAATATTTTCACCTGGTAATCCTACAATTATTTAACTACCTGTCCTATTGTGACAGCCCTGCTGAGCAGTATTGTCACCCCAGGATAGGGAATGTGTTAGGATCAGGGGCAGACTGACTATTTAGAAACTCGGGCACTGCCCGAGGGCCTGGGGTCAGTAGGGGGCTCCATGAGATGCCCTTGGTACCTTTTTCATAGGCTTTTTTGAGTTTGGGCAAGGACACAGGGCCCTATGATCCCCTATTGCCCAGGGGCCCCATGAGTTGTCAGTCTGCCCCTGATTAGGACTACATAACACCGCATTAGCACTACATGACTTCTCTCTCTTTTCCATAAACAGTGGGAGGTGTTTTGTAGTCCACGGAAATCACAGAGAACAAGTGAGAACAGCCCAGAGGCACAGAGCACAGGAAATTATCAGCTCACAAGATTTCTGGCTGGATGATTAGTGTTTTTTAGCACATGTAGAACAGATATAATAAAACACTTCCAATGGTATATTTAACAGACAAAAAGGGAGCAAAAACGAGAAATCTATTATTGGAGTTTGCATACACTTTAAGTTGCAGCTTTAGGCTTAGCCTCATTTCAGCTAGATAGGTCAGGTGAGGTACCAGTTACTGACAGGGGGCTCTGGCTGAAATCATTTAACAGCAGCACCTGTCCAGATGATATCACTGTGTACCTATAGCAGATGTTACCAGGGGCGAACTGACCATTTGGAAACTCGGGCACTGCCCGAGGGCCCGGGGTCAGTAGGAGGCCCCATGAGATGCCCCTGTTACCTTTTTCATAGGCTTTTTTGAGTTTGGGCAAAGACACAGAGGCCCCATGATCCCCTATTGCCCGGGGGCCCCATGAGTTGTCAGTCCGCCCCTGGATGTTACAGTGGCATGACAGGGGAGTTGAGGAAATATTTCCAAGACTCTAGATCAGAGTGATACACTGCAGTATTCAGCTATGGTAGGGTAAAGCATATCTAAGCCCACCAACAAAAATTGATAGTATTGCAGCAGATTTATCCTTAAATGTAGTGACTGCATTTGTTTTATTTATCTAATTTTTACCCCCTTTATTTTCACCTAGTAATCCTGACATTAACACTCCTCTGTCCTAGGGTGAAGACCGTACTGATCAGCATTGTCACTATAGAACAGAGATTGTGTTTGGACTACCTAACGCCTCTCACTCTCTTCTCCAGAACAGGGGGAGGTGATTTGTAGTCCATGGAGATAGCAGAGAGCAATGCTAATAACAGTTCAGTGGCAGAGAGCATAGGAAGTTATCAGCTCACAAGATTTCTGGTGGGATAAACAGATATTTATTTATTTTTACAATTGCTGAACAGATATAATAACACGCTTTCAATGTATGTTTAGCAGACCGAAAAGAGAGCAAATAAGAGAAATCAATGTTAGGGATTGCATACACTTTAAGTTTCTATAACCAGTGCAGGGATTCCCTATGTTATTTTGTGGCAGTGAAACAACTACAGATACTAAGGCTGGCTATACACCATACAATTTTCTGTCCAATTTCTGCCAAATTTCCTTTAGATTTACCTTCAACTATGTAGTGCAAGAGCCTGCGTGATTGGATACAATTGAAAGTGTTGTTAGGTTTGACCTCCTATTATATGATTTTTGGTAAATCTAAACCAAAAATCTCAAGAACATTGTATAATGTGTGGCCTTACTAAGGCTGACTATAAAATTTTCTTGAGAATTTTGCTTTAGATTTACCAAAAATCATATAATAGGAGGTCAAACCTAACAACACTTTCAATTGTATCCAATTACGCAGGCTCTTGCACTACATAGTTGAAGGTAAATCTAAAGGAAATTGGGCAGACATTGGACAGAATATTGTATAGTGTATGGCCAGCCTAAGTGGCAGTTAGCTGTTCTCACCAAACACAGCCCTTGTTATCCTTATGTTGGGTATTGCCCTTCCAGTTAGCAGTCTAAACTGTTACAAACTAGTTCCTAGGCACATCAGCCTCTGTATATGGGGGGGGAATGTTAGAGTGGTACACTGCAGTATTCAGCTATAGTAGGGTAAAGCATATCTAAGCCCACAAACAAAAATGTGGTGACTGCTTTTGTTTGAACTTTTCACAATTTTTTTCCTTTACAATCCTGACATTTGCTACTTTGCTTTGTCATGAACTGCATGCACCAGAAAGTAGCAGGTTAACACACTTACTGCTCACGCCATTATTATTTAAGATTTTATTTAATTTGTAGCTGGCAGAAAGATTTTAGTTTTTTTTTTACTGACAATAGTAACTTGGCTATAGTGTGTAAATTTTAGTTTACTGTATTCTCTGCCAACGTTATGTAATACAAGAAAAAGAAAAAGAAAACCTGAAGCATGGCAATCAGCTTTTAGTGCTGATCACTTTGATGAAAGGGGGATTCTGATTGGGTACTATGGATTACAGGCTCTTTGTACAGCCTTTTTTTATTTGTAAGTCAGCCAGCGCCTGAAGAAACTGGTGGTACACTGTAATAAATCTTTGTCATGTTTTACGTGTTTCCCAGTCTCCCCCGCTGCTCTCATGAAATCACCGATTATCCTGCCTGCTGATGAACATTATATTTATTATGTCAGAGTGTACTGTATTTAAATCCTAGATTTTTCTTTTATTATGCAAATTCTTCAAATCACCAAGAAGCCTAGCTTATTATATATTTTTGCAGGCTTCTAACTATATTTGTTTTCAATTTAAAGTTACATAGGTATGATTAAAATTTGTAGTCAGCAAAGAGTTTTAATTAAAACTTTTAAAAAATAAAATAATTAACTACTTAAAATATACTATATCTATCACCATTTTTTATTTAGTTTTGGATGCAGCTTGGAAGAATTAG